ATAATTATCGAGTTCTAACAAAATAATTAATTATTATCTTTATAAGAAAATTATATTATTAAACCAAATATAAATTACTTCGTTATTATACCTAAATAAATTATAATTAAAAAAATGAATTAAAACACTACACAAAAAATGAGGAATTCTAAATAGTTAATTTGATACGAATATCGATATATTTTTGTTATGCATAAAGTATTGTATATTGATGCATATTACTTACAATTCAAGATTACAATTAAATTATACATAAATACAACTTAATAAAGCTCGATGTTTGAATTCGTATAAATAACTGCGGATAAACATAATCAAATAGAGGATAAACATCTCAATTTAAAATATAAAAAATCTAAAATATAATTAGAATAATTATCGAGTTCTAACAAAATAAATCATTATTATCTTTATAAGAAAATTATATTATTAAACCAAATATAAATTACTTCGTTATTGTACCTAAATTAAATTATAAAACAATTTAATTAAAAAATTACACAAAAAATACGGAATTTTAAATAGTTAATTTGATATTAATATCGATATATTTTTGTCAAATTTTTATGATATCTTCAAACTTATATTTTATTCAAAAATAAAAACATCATCGCTTTCTCAAGATCATATAAGACCATATTATAACATTGACGGAGATAAAGAATAAAATGAAATACTAAAATCAAGATGTATCTCGTTGTATTGCGCGAGTACCCTTCTAGTAATATATTATAAAACATTTGACAAAAACTTTTAAAAACTATTTTTATGCATGAAGTGCTGTATATTGATGCATATTACTTAAAACTCAAGATTGCAAGTAAATTATGTATATGTACAACTTAGTAAAGTTCATTTTGAATTCGTGTAACTAACTGCAGATAAACATAATCAAATAGAGGATAAACATCTCATTTTAAAATCTAAAATATAATTAGGATAATTATCAAATTCTAACAAAATAATTAATTATTATCTTTATAAAAAAATTATGCATAAGTACAACTTATTAAAGCTCCATGTTTGAATTCGTGTAACTAACTACGGATAACATAATCAAATAAAGAATAAATATCTTATTTTAAAATCTAAAAAATCTAAAAAAGCTAAAGTATAATTATAATAATTATCAAGTTCTAACAAAATAATTAATTATTATCTTTATAAGAAAATTATATTATTAAATCAAATATAAATTACTTCGTTATTGAACCTAATTAAGTTCTAATAAAAAATTGAATTTAAAAATTCGACAAAAAATAAGAAATTTTAAATAGTTAATTTGATACTAATATCGATATATTTTTGTCAAATTTTATGATATCATCAAATTTATATTTTATTAAAAAATAAAAACATTATCATTTTTTTCAAAATCACATAAGACCGTATTATAACATCGACAGAGATAAAAAATAAAATGAAATATTAAAATCAAGATATATCTAGCTGCATTGCGCGAATAAAAATCTAAAATATAATTAGGATAATCATTGAGTTGTAACAAAATATTTAGTTATTATATTCATAAAAAATTATGTTATTAAACTTAAATTAAATTACTTCGTTAGTAAACCTAAATTAAATTATAAAAAAATTGAATTAAGAAAATTACAATAAAAACAAGAATTTTTAAAAAGATTAATTTGATACTGATATCAATATATATTTTTTTCAAAATGTTATGATATTTTCAAATTTATATTTTATTAAAAAATAAAAATATTATCGCGTTCTTAAAACCACATAAAACCATATTATATCGATATAAAAAAAACACTGAAATCGAGATGTGTCTCGATGCATTGCACGAGTACCCTTCTAGTATTTATTAAAATTAAAATTTGTAATACAAAAATCAAATTTTTAAAAGTTTATGGGGGTCAATTTACCCCCTTGGCCAAGATGTACTCTCGCCTATGTTGATAAGTCCAAATGATTTGGTCATAGACAAACTGCATGAAAATAAAAATGACATTAATTTGAATTTTATCCATGCTATTTTGTAAAACATATTTGCCAAAGTGTTAAACACCTTTTGATGCAGAATGTACTACTAATTTATGCACGAGTCTTAAAAATATTTATCATAAGTTAACAAGCACATTCTACAACATGATAAAGCATGCACTCTTCCTAAAGTTTCTTACGACGGATTTAGTTTCAATCGAGGTGACTTTTAAGCTTAAAGACCCTGGAAGTTTCACAATTCCTTGTTCAACAGGTGGGAAACATGTTGGTAAAGCCCTGTGTGATTTAGGTGCTAGCATCAATCTTATACCCTTATCTGTGTTTAGTACCTTAGGTGTAACACTTGAGTTTTTTTTCTTAAAACCTTCGTTCCGTTCACGTCAATAGTTTTTTTTTTCTTTTTGTCTCGTTACCGATGTTATGCCTTTAAATACATACATATATATATATATATATA